CATTTTGGGGTTTGTTTTAAGGAATATTTGAATGGCTTAACAGAAATCTAAAAAATAAGCCTGCACATACAGCAGAGCTGAAGGATTACATAGACAGCACAGTAGTGACCTACGGTACAGCTTTGATTTAATTCTGTTTCAAGCTCTCCAACAAAAGAAAATCCAATGGGCTTCTTTCCTCTGTCTTTTTATGAATGAAAAAGGCCTGAGGGTTGGGTTATTGTATTTTAATATGAATGGTTTAGGAATGCTGTTCTTTTCAACCAGCAGTCTGGGGGATCAAGTGAGCATCTGGCAGCATTGGAGCAAAACAGAGCTGAGTCCAGGCACCAAACTGCACTAAACTTTGCTTCACAGTTTGTAAGAGCAATGAACAGGAAAAGGACAAGAGGAGGGAATCAGCATTTCTTACATTTTCTAGGAGAACAGCCACTGTACTTCAGCTGTCTAACAAATCTCAGGGCCTTTTTCCTACCAGGTAAAAAGAAGCAAAAGATGTCAACAAGCCACTCTTAAACTGCCTGTGAGAAGCTTGTTGATACTCCTTATTCCCAACAATTACAACCTTTATGTGCCTTTTGAGACTAGGTACAAAATAACTCAAAGATTATTTTATGCCATCAACTTACTTTTCTGTCCTGGTTAACTCCTAGGGAGTCAGAAAGAAACACAGTGAACCCTGCTGTTTCCAATACTGAAGTAATGAAGTTGGGCCAAATCTTTTGACCCTTCAGGAAGACATGCACTGTCATTGCGAGGAAAACTCTCTAATTGGCTTCTCTTGTCTTTGGAGTTTTCAGTCAAAAAGACAGATGCCAAGCAATTATGCCACAAGTTTTTCTCTGGGTCTCCCTTTTTTGTCCCCCCAGCTGAACAGAGGTACCATTTCTTTCCCCTCTTTCCTCTGGAGAGCTCTTGCCCGGCTCTCCATGGGGACCTGCTTCTGACTTCCTGGTTTATCCATCACAGAGAACCTGACTTCTTTACTGTCTTAGGCAAAGCTTTATCGGGGCTGATGCAAGACCTCTCACACAATATAGGTTTTTGAGATTAAATATACCTTTTACATCCCTTTACAGTTAAGCTCACACTGAATGTGTCAGACAATGTATGAAGAAAAAAGCATGGCCAAGCTGTACATAAAAACTGCTCCATTAGAAAAAGCTGCATCTCTAGCACTGACTGCTAACAGACATCCAGTCCTTCTAACCTGTAGTTTGAGGGACATCTGGGGACTCGTTCCAAGTCCAGACTTGTGTTCTCTACCTGGTCCAGGAAGAGCTGCACTCTAAGGCCTTCACAATCCTAAGACAGTGTTTTACATATCTTTTAAGCATTTATTTTTTTATTGTAATTGCCATTATGTTCTTTTGTGTTGCTTTGTCATTCGTACACATTCAGAGATTGCTTACTTTAGACCCTGTCACTCTGGGAGAAACGCATCCCTTTCAAAAACTGGAGGATGAAGTTCATGGTCCCTCTCTTGGTTTCTTTTGCTGAAGCTTTAACAAAGAGCAGCCCAAGGATAATGCTGCTGCCGGATTTGGCTTCTAACAGACTTGACTCAGTAACTAAATATTTAGAAAACATTTCCTTCCGAGCTATCTCCTACCTTCTGAATTATTGAAAATAATACTTTATCTTTTCTGTTCTTACATGCTCTTGTAATATTGCCATGTCTGCCTTGTGTGTGGATGCTCCTTCTGCAGTATGCAAATACAATTATCAAACAGATATTATTTTTTACTATATACTATAACATTTAATTTCTATTTTACAATATTTGTTGGATTTGCAAATTTTAACTTTTGGTTTAAATTGTATGACAAGATTTGTTAAAATATCTAGGATTGTCTTACTGCCATTTGTATGAGCTTGTTCTAAATGGGATTATTCTGTCTTCTATACTTAGTGCTTGAGCATAAACATGAGTAGCTTGGTTCTGCAGAGACCTGCTATCATGAAGCAGCCTAAGCAAGTCAGACCTGACAACTACCTGATACTTGTCAGTGTAAAAAAGACTTTGGGAGCCAGGAGGATAAAGAAAATGGGATATTATTATGTCATTTAAACCTATGAGGACCTCACAACTGCTGTTTCTACATTTATGTTCTGCTCTTTCTATATCTGTGCAATGTCTCTGAAATGGGGAATTGCACCTACCCCCATTTAATGAATCAAAAAATCATGACTGCAGAGACCGATACCTAGTTTCTCAAAGTCACAGAGAAGTATATATTCTGCTGATATAAATAAGATGGAAATGTGAAATACAGACTCAGTCTTCACTGAAACTAATTATTTCAGACATAATGAAAATCCATACAGATGGTGATATCACACAGCCTTTCACTACCGTGCTTTACCAAGTGGTTCACTACTGAGTTGTAACTGCATTTTAACAGGGATCTGAAATTGTACACATGTTAAAAGTGATCAGAACAAAACATTCTAAGTTGTCTAATGAGCATTATAGTAATGAGCTGCTGCTCATCACCTTTTCAAGGCAATTTTTCCAGGGGCCATCTATGAGATTCTGTGAAACCCTTAGGTGTCCCACTTCTACCAGCCAGCAGCCCAAATCTCCAAAAGATTCTGCTCTAGAAGATGCCTTTCTCATAATACCAGAGGCATAAATACAGCTGTATTTGTCTTATTTAAATTGCTGTATTGATCACTGTAGTCTACAGATTCTGACAACTTTTTACCCTTTCTCTCAGTTCCTACTAATGTTGAGCATTAAGATGCTTTGAATCAATGGCAGAATGTCTAAAGTTTTATGTCCCAATGCACAACTATGGATTCAAATCATAGCAACAACTATAAAGTACCTACCCAAACAAGGAGCATTTTGTTAGACCAGGCTATGCAGCTGAATCACTATCATCACCTAGACTCAAAAAGGAGTGAAGGTAGCTTCCTCTCCTGCCTCCAGCACCTCAGGGAAGAGGAATTTGGATGACAGAACTCGTAAGAACATTTGATCTATGTGCCTGCCACACGCAACCTCTTTCATAACCATAGTATTTAACTACCACCATGCATGGTCATCCCTGCAGACACTGAGAGAATTCATATATGACCTCTGCATTTTCTTTTTCTCCTAGAGAGAAGTGGACAGGTTGAGAACAGAGTTCTTGATAATTTTTAGCATTCAAGATGGCCAGAATACTCATTACCTGACTTGAGAAATCATATACTTCAACAATAGTCTGCTTTCTTGCAGATTGTTTTCTGCTATTTTTGCAGAATTATAGTAGGGTAACATGGAATGAACATTTGGGGCTTTAAAGCAAGACTGCCATGACTTCCTTCATTTAAGGCAAAAGAAGATTACAAGTCCCATAATCCTTTTTCCTAGAGTTAAATGGGCTGTGGACAGTAGAGTAATGACTACACAGGAACAGCAAACGGTCAGCTTCATAGAGGACAAGTAACAGGTTACAAGTAAAACCTTGGAGTACACAGAACAGCCAGCGAAAATCCACTCTGAACTTGTCTTCTGTGTATACCCTATCATATCTGAGCTGAATCTGACTTTTAAGACAATCATTTGTTTGCGCAAAGAGGCTATGAAAGTGCACATGTCATTTCTCTTTGAATTACAAAGATATGAGATGAAGAAGCTCTGGCTTGGCTAAACTACTCTTGACAGTTCTGATGCCTCTCTAACACAAAGGTCAAGGTCAAACCCTTTTCTCTGGCCAGAAAGAGGGATATAAATTTGCATTTCAATATAAAATTTAGAACATTTACTCATCATGAAGAAAATAACTGTCTGATTATATGATGGAGATTATGAGTTGGATAATCTTTGCTTTTCCCCTGAGTATGACATATATATAAGGCAGTACTGCATTCTCAAGGGAAACCAAGAGGAAATTAAAACTGATTTATTTGTGTATTATAATCCCAAAACTCAGCAATGAGTCTTTAAAAGGCAACAGTCCCTGGGAAAGGAGTCCAGCACACAACTTATATGACCTAGTACAGTCTACTACTTCATTCCTGAAATCTTGGCATATATGATCCCTGTTCATCAGAAAAACCATAAATGAAATAGTTCAACGTGTTCTTTTACTGCCATATTTTCTGTGCTCTAGGGGGAGAGCAGAAATTCTGGACTTTATTTATTTCTCAGGATCAGAAATGGAAAGATATCCTAGTGTTGGATACAATATTCAAAGCCATGAGATTAATGAAATTGAGGGCTTTTCACAACAATGTAACAAATTCTGGTTTTAACCAGATCACTCTCACCACACAGAATAACGTGACTTTTGTTCAGAGATTTACCATGTTTAATTAGTCATTTTTTCAGTAGCTTAACCATGTATTCAGTTAAATAAAGTAATAAACAAAAGTGTTCAAATTGAGACAATACTGTCTTTATGTTATTTTTAAATTGTGATCAGGTATCTGTGGGACATGGAAAACTAAAAATTAAACAAAGTACATAATTTTTGCTTCTCTAGTAAAATTTAGTGCCAAATTCTGCTCTCAGGTAAATGTCTATAAAGCATTGTCTATAATAACATAGGGCGTATTCATGGGTTTAAAAAGTGCCAAAGATCAGTAGTTGTTCTCACATCTTGAAGGCTCAACACACAGCAAATGGAGAGCTGGTGTCTGGCTCTAATACATATTGCCCTGCTGGCCTACTGCAAGCAGTCACAGCATCTCTCCTCCAGAACAAACTGATTTGATTTCACCAGATGGTAATTCAGCTAAATTTTTTTTTTTTTTAACTTCAATTTGCCTTCTTCAAGTAATGAGAGCACAATTTGGCTCCTTTCTCAGGGAAAAGGAAGCCAACCAAACATGACTTTCACCAGGCCTCAGTTTTTGGCCCCAGATTTCAACATATACTATTACAGCAATCAAAAGAACCATAGTAATTACTTATCATTTTACTGTTCCTTACACATTTCACACAGTCCTGCAGCAAGCAGAATCACAGATGAACCTTAGAACATACAGAGAGCACAACTACTACACTGGACATGAAAAGGAAATTTTATTAAACATGTTTACATAACATGAGTTGGAAGTTCATTTAAAAGCACAGGGGAGTGTTAAGACAAGTGGTCAAAATAGAAAGATACTATTGAATTATAACTAGTTGGTGTTTGGCCACTAAGACAGAACAGGATCTAGTAGTAGTGCACCAATGCTTGAGTTCTTCCTGCTCAGCAGGTCGAGCAGTAACCAATTTATGCCCTATGGAAAGATGGGCAGAATAATTCCCATGTGTTGAGTAATAATAAATAGTTCACTTGGTGCAGGCAGTATGTCTATGAATTAAAACCTAGTGTGTACACAGTTTCTACATGTGTTACAGCCCCACAGTAGGAATCTACACCAAAATAGTTATTAGAAGGAATTTGGTCCGTACTACATCACGTTTTCCATAGGGTAAAAAATAAAGTCCATCTATAGACATTTAGCACCAGACCCACAGACCTAGCCTGGCTAAAACCTGCAAAATGTCTATAAGAAAAATGGATGGCTTAGATTTCTTGGTTACTTCAGTATAGTAATTACGAGCAAACTGTACAAGTACATGCAACATACAAGCTGGCCTATGTGGAACTAACATACATTATTAAATAACCTTTGTCATCTCTTTTTACAAAACGTGCATGCAGCTTTGAACAGTTCCAAGTCATGCTGCTCTATTTTTGTGATCACAAAATTGAATGGCCTGTAAAAGGAGGGGAAACATATCAATGCACCTGCAGGAATCTGCAGTTCTTCGCACATTTACAGAATATCACAAGGGATTTCAAGGCCAAGAAGAACTCAAATGAATAAAAAGCAAATTGAAATTTGACTTTTTTTTTTTTTCTCCAAAAAGTAAGATATCTTGCGTTAAAAAATCAAGCCTTGTGCTTGCATCAATCTCAAAGAAATGTAAACTAAAATTTGATAAAAACATTAGTAAGTGCAGAATATTTCAACTGGAATTTCCAGAGAAACATTGAACAACTCATACCATGCTCTATCCAGGGCAGACAGGTGCGTCTGAAGCGACACACATCAGAGAAGCCTGGGTACAGCTGAAAGTGTCATATGCTCAATTCATTCCTGGTCAACATTTTGGGAAGTCAAATATACATTTATACACAGAAACGTAAGTATTTCCTCTCCATTTCTAGGAGGAAAATTGCATTACCAGTAACATATTCAATGTCAAAATTAAGACTAAAGCTGCTTTATACCAGTCCCCAGCAGTAGTTGCAGAATTCTTCAAAATTCTTCCATGCAAAACATCATAAACATAAAAGTTATTATATATATATAATGCAAACATATCTGCTTTTTACAAAGAAAAAAGTGGCACTGTGATGATTATTTATTTTTAGGAAGATAACTCAGATTGGTCATTTGTTCTGGGTTCCCGTGTGAGAGACTTGTAAGTACCAGAACCGAGAAACGATTTGAACTTGCTGAAATTGTAACTGTGGCTGTTGAACACTTTAACGATGCTTACAGAGATATGCTTCAGCCCTTTTTGGTTTGGTTTAGAAAAAGAAAGGAAGGGTCTCTGTTAGCATTGTGAGGACTTCTACGAAACTAGCAGAATCATGTGGCAAAAAACTAGTGGAAGTGAAGTACAGAAAAACTGTTGAAACACCAGGAAGGTAACACTGCTTGAGGGCTCTGTCAAAATGTGAAAAATGCAACATTGTTAACAGAGTGAGAGCTTCCAGTTTGGGTCATCTTTGACTTAGATCAAATCTAAAAGTCCCCTTCTTTTTTCTTTTCTTTTTTTCTTTTTTTTTTTTTCTTTGATCATTATAAGCATCAGTGAGAGCCGCTAAGAGATTAGCTGTATGTGATATACCTTTGTTCTGTCAATTTAAGCTATCTCTTAACAAACAGACATATGTTTGGATAACTACTACAAGTAAAAACAGAAGTGATTGTCTCTCTCCAACAGTGTTTTTTGATTATGTGAATATCTGGTTCCAATTGTTATCCTGGGTGATGTTTTTATTAGACAGCACCTGCTACTACGATCTAATGCAGGGAGGCCCAGTTGAACTTTCCAGAGATGACTGGGAAGCCCTGCGTGTCAGGGGAGTCAATGTTGGATCCACTAGCGATGAAGGTGGAAATAATTTATACCAGCCTATTACCACACTGGACAGGTCTAGCTCCTCCAGAAGGATCTGGGCAACTCCCATGAAGCATTTGTGGTCCATTCGGCCATAGTCTCCCCAGACTATTACCTGGAAGAACATAAAATTAAGGTTCAGCATTGTCCCCAAATCCGTGTTTATATGGGATTATGTACTTACACCATGCTTATATAGGTGCACTCCTGCTATAATGTGTAGCATAAGGAAAATGTTACTCTCAAGGGTGAATGATCGCTTCCCCTTTGTGGGAAAACCTTATGGCAGGACAGCAGTGAGACGCAACAAAAATGTCTCATAGTCCAACATTTTGCAAGTCTGAAACCACCAGTCACAAGGATGTGTTTGCTGGTATTTATAAAATTAAATGCTTATGAGTTGGAATGGGTTTATGCACACTGGTTAAATTTAAGTAAACATGCAAGTGCTTCTTCAAATGACTGCCTAAAATGGGGTTAAGAAGCAACTGACCTGAAGGACTTTACCCTGTGGACTTTCTTCAAAAACCAGTGTCTGTTGGTACAAAGGATCAAGGGTCTTCCTTGCAATTCTTGTCTTCTTCTTAGCTATGCATGCTCCGTTTTCCAGTAAATACACTTTGACATATGGAGCTGCAAACAGAACATTATGAATGTTATATTTGGACTTACAGTGCACATCTGAGATGCAAGACAAATGCCTTAAAAGGAAACTGAGTAGAAAGAAAATGACAAGCGTTATCTTCACTGTATCTTCACGGTTGTGTAATTTGAATACAATTATATTAATAAAATAAATGACATGGACCATAAGAAATCAATTTAATTTTTATAAACTTTGAATATAATGATGTAAGATGTTACTGACAACAATTACACTTCATGTCTGTCATTTTAAAACCACTTTATTTTTCCAGGAATTAACTGTCACTGACAGCAATTCTGGAGTCCCTATTATGCCTAAAGGTGAACCATCAGAGATAGTTCAAAACAAAAGATATATTTAAAACTTTGCCACTCCAATAACACAGACATTAATTGCTATTTCATCTTCAGCTCCTACAGAAGTTGCAAAGAACCATTTTGGCTAAATGTTATCTAAAACAACTGTTCCAATTGTTACCTCTTTGTGGTATTGATTCTAAATCTCCTCTAATAGAGATTTCTATAAATAACTCAAACTTCAACAAATATCCTCATAAAATGATACAATATTAAATCCCATTCATTATACAAATTATTGACACTAACACTAGCACAAGCTGATGTCTTCTTGAAGTACTGTTGTGTACAGAAGACCCTGGCATGTGGGTTTGTTAGTTTGTTTGTTCAAAGCACTTTCATCCATTCATCATCTCTTTTCATGGAGAACAAACACAAAGGGGCTCATCTATATTGACAAAGTCCCTCTTAGATATAAGACTTGCCTAAGATACCCAGAAATATTCCTGCAAATGTTCCTTCCAGAACAGATGTTGAGTTGCTGAAAATCATTCCTTGAAAGGTGACATGCAACTGGCAGATGTGAGGTGGTGAAAAGCAGACATTGGTAGCAAGGATATATCCACACAAACACTCCTTGTTGAAAAGCAAACCAAACAAATGAAAATGTAGTCACAGCTAACAAGGAGCTCAAAAAATCTCCAATCCTCAGTTCATTAGTGTATTTCATATTGCTGTTTTCTGTTCATATACTGTCTATTTTTTTCCATACCTGGGGTAGATTTGGAGCCAGGTTTTTGTGTGAGGCCACGGGCTCTAATGACTTCTACTTCTAACTGGCCTTTTTTATCTACCATTCCAATCTGGATGTCACCTGAGAAGGAGAAGAAGGAAGTACACATTTTAGATAAGCAGTACAGCTCAGGAAATAGCATATAAGAATGAGAAACAGAAAGACTAGCTTGATATGATTCTTCTGCCTTATTGTGCTTGTTGCCTCTCCTCCTGATTCCTTCAACTTCTCTGTCCTTAACCAAGGACTAAATGATATATACTTAGGGACTATGGTGCCCTCTCTTGGTGTACAGTTTATACCTGACCAAAAGAGGTGTTTTTTCTTCAAAAGTCTCCAATGAGCACAGGGGTGACAATGTTCCTGTTTTTATCAATATTTCACACCCCCATTTTTGGTGAGAATAAAATTGCAGCATGTTAAAAAAATAAACTGCTTTTGTTTCTAAATAGCCAAACTCATTTTCCTACCTGAGTTTTGACAAATGACATCTCCTGCAGAAAAAAATGGAAACTGCTTAGTCTGAGACCAAGCACTGTTCTGATCTAGACCAATAAAGTACAAGGGAAGTCAACTATGAGTTGATGCTCAAGGCATTATGTCTCTGTGGTTTCACATGTCATGGAATCAGCTGGGTAGAAATCTAACAGGCCACTTAGAATAAAAAATGCATAGTATGACACAGGTAGCTACGTGACACTTGGGTAAATAAATTATCTACATCCATGAAACACATAAATATGTATATATTTGACATGTAAACTTTGATTTTCTAAAAAGAACCCTCACAAATAGATAGTCCAAAACTACAGAAATTGGGGTCTGGATTTAGAGAAACAGCATTTTGAAATTAACTGGGCATGAGATTTTCACATGTTTCTCTAACAGCATATTAAAGCAGTATTTATACCTTGGGATGTGAAGTGTGACAGAGTAGCAGGAATTTTTTTTTCAATCAAAATTTACTTGATAAAACACAGCTCTCTGTTACTAAAAACAGGTGAGGAAAATTGCAACAAGACTTTTTTAAGAGCACATCTCTGCATCGCATATCCAAAATAAAACATGCGTCAGGGAACCAGAAGGGGGAGCAATAATACAAACATTTTCAAATTGTCACTTGTGAAAGGATACCACAGAGAAGGTATTCTGAAAATTGTTAACAAGCATGATGAAGTGTTTTTGGGAGGGGCAAAACTTGAGCCTTTAGTAAATAAAGTAGTTCTAAGAATTTAAAATAAATGTGTTATCTGCAGAAAGTCAGATTAAAATAAAAAGACAGAAGAAATCTAGACCCTTACATTCATACCAATAAAGCCACTTAGGCAAACTTTGGGCGAACAGTCTCACAAATATATTTTCTTTCAAAATAACAATGAAAATATTAATTTAATAAATTTGGTGATTATTAATGGTTTAGTAGCAGTCATTTGGATTTATACAGCAAGTCTTGCCTTAGAGGGTACTCAGAGAATTGTCAGGATAGTTTTCCTTCTTCTAATGAGTTGGGAAGAAAAAACTCTCTTCCACAATTTTTCTTTCTGTTTCTCTCTCCTATTTCATGTGTCTCAGTAGCCCTTCCTAAAGCTGATTTTCCCAAGACAGTTGCACTGAAGCACTGGCCACTGATAATTTCCAGCAGGAGGAGTATCATTACACTGATGGATCAAGGACTCCTCACTCAGCATCCTGATGCCTGCCTAAGAACTGCTCATATATATAAGCAAAAAACAACAAAAAACCCCAAGCCTTTCCAAAGATACTTACACAGACCTGCACAGCCCTGCATTGTTGCACTCCTTGTACAACTCCCACTCTGTTCATACAAAGAAGATACAGCTAATGCTACTACAAGAAATTACAGACAGGTCTGTAACATAGAGAAGATCACAGGTAGTCCCAGGCAGCTGTTGTAGAAAACGACTTTGTGTCTCTCATGGCAAACGCTGGCTCTATCAGCGACTGATAAACAGGCATTGCAAATGTGGGCAGAAGTTTCACATTCTGGGATTAGATGAACTTGGAAAACGCAAATTGCAGTTTGGCCAGAAACCCTCTGTTATATGCAATATAATCTGTGTCAAGTGAATATAAATTCTGGACAGCTGAGATTTTGCAGCGAGCCACTTTTGGAGAAACCACAGTAATTCTGAGCGGGAAGTAAAACCCCTATATTCAAATGGTAAATAAGACAGACAACACCTTAAATGGAGCAAATATTGTTTCTCAGCCCACTTCTGATGCTAGCGTGCTAGAAACACCAGTCACTGCAAGTAGGACCTTCATGTTTACAGTGAAGGAAGACACTTTGTAAAAGTCTTTTTGGTGTGGTAGTCTGGCAGTGTGTGCCTTAGTTAATTGTCTTATTAGTCCTTTAACAGAGGAGAACATATTATTCTTACCCATGGCAGGGGTTGCCAGTGTTTGTCGGCCTACTAACTGTGCAGGTCCAAGTCCATCAAGGAAATCACTAAACTGACTGTCAGCGCCCAGCCGTACTCCAGGAAATATTAAGCTGAAACAAAATAAAAGCTGGTTAAGCATAAGATCAGGATTAATTTCTATTGTCTTACAGTATTTACCTCAAAAGTATTACTGATACAAGGCAAGCAGGTCAGGATGCACAACCACAAGTCATTCTGCACCATCAGGAATGAGCTGTTTACCATGGACTCCAAGCAGTGTAGTGAAATTCTGCACATGGACCAAAAGCAGTGCATAAAACAGGTCTTGCTAAGTAGTTCTCCAGGAGCAGTGAAGAGTCTGACAAGTGAATAAACTGTGAGTGACCTTGTATAAGAAAACATAAAAGCTGCAAGAAATTTAATAGGTTGTCCTTCATTCTTGAATGTTTGACTGACTTAGATCCAAACCCCACCTGCATCAGTTAGAGCAAACAGGAAAACAAGATGTATACACTAAATTAATCTGATTGCTGCAGCTGTTTAATGAAGCAGTAAACTGGCACGTAGTACTATTGTTAATTAGAGTTAAACCTCATATCACTGGCCAGCCAAAATATTCTGGTAGACAAATCTGGATCTACAGTTGGCACCCACCCCTCTTTCAAGATACAAACTGAACTGTAATACATAGGCACAGAATATATGGAAACATTAAAGGCCATGTTAGACGGGGCTTTAAGCAACCTCGTGCAGTTGAAGATGTCCCTGCTGAGGGTGGGGAGGGGTTGGACTAGATCTTTACAGGTCCCTTCCAACTCAATCTATTCTATGATGCTATGATATATGCCTTTCCAAGCTACGTTCTTATATTCCAGAATCTCCACTCTATTTTTATTAGAGACAGAGCCTTCAAACAATAACACAAGAAAAAAACGAACAAACAAATGAAAAAACCAAGAAAGAATGAACAAACAAACAAACAAAAACAAAAACAAAAAAAAGAGAGAGAGAAAGAATGATCCATGGTGGGAAGACTCATCTTTGACTTCCTCATCACAATTATGAGGAATAAAGGAACAGACTTTGAACCAAGTCTAGATAACATCTTACCCAGCAGGCCATCCACCACTCTCTATCTGCATCTTCTTCAAAGCAAATTCCCTAATAGACTGCAATAAATAATAAAAAAATTCCTAATAACACATAGCGTGAAAAGCTTTGATTTCTTCACATCAGGCTCCAGCCTAATGTGCTCCAGCCATTCAATTCACACTGAAAGCTTTTTACAAACCCATAAGTTGTCTAGAAAAAGCCCATTTCTCTCTTGAAGACTAACTGCTCTTACTATGTCTGCATAAATGTATAGATTATCTGTGACAAAAGTTGGCCAGAAAATATCATAGAATCATAGAATATCCTGAGTTGAAAGGGACCCACAAGGATTATTAAAGTCCAGCTCCTGGCCCTGAACAAGACAGCCCCACGAGTCACACCATGCACCCAAGATTATTGTTCAAATGCTTCTTGGACTCTGTCAGGGTTGGTGCTGTGACCACTTCTCTGGTGAGCCTGTTCCAGTGCCCAACCATCCTCTGTGTGAAGAACTTTTTCCTAATGTCCAATCTAAACCTCCTCTGACACATTTTCATACCCTTCCCTTGGTACAGTGCATTTCGTTAGAAAACTCTGTTTTTCCAAAAGTTTAGTTTTAAAATCTCTCTCCTTTTTTTTTTTTTTTTTTTTTAAATAGGGTTTCTTTAGATGGAGGAGGAAAAGAATCTCAAGGTCTCCAGTTCAACCATCAGCCCACCACTTTGAGCACTCACTGCACTCACTTAACCTTGAGATGCAGCTTCAAGTCCAGCCCTTCTGACAGGACACAATCTGCTTCTCACCCCAGTGTCATTATCCCTTCACTCCTGCTTCTGTTGTGAAAAGTTTCTTGCTTGTTTTTTGGCTTTTTTCCCAAGATGTGTCACATTTTGCCACACACTGACTAACACTGGAAATATTCACTTGAGACCACATGTCCAGCTAGACATATAATAATGAAGGTTGAGAAGTACACAGTCATCTCAATGTATATTAATTCTAGTTCATTAAACTCCAGTTTATGGACAAGCAAGTACCTGGGGTACCTACTGTAGGGATAGCTGAGCTACATAGTTGATTGGTCTTAGGAAAAGCAGCATAAGGCATGTTACTGTCAATAAATGATGTGATGTGACCCTGGAAGTAAAGTCAGGGTCACACGCACAAAGAAGGAAAAGAAACCTGTGCCAGCTTAACATAAGCACTTCCTAATTTTCATCAGTATCTGCCTACAGTAAAGTCAAGAGTGAACTTCAGGAAAAACACTACTCAAAACACAAAGTCAAGATCTCACTGATTTTGATGGGAATTTCACAAGAGAGAAAAAAATGTTGCAAAATGTTGCAAACGGCTCCACTATTCTGAATACAAGGTGCTGTCAAACAGCTGATTCAATGTTCACACCAGACATAACATCTGAAGTTAAAGCTGACCCTTCTAATGTTAAAAAAATAAGCCCAGAGGAGGGATAGAGGGAGATGATTTTAGCATCAGGTGGCACAGTGCCTGCACCCTGATTATGTAACAGAGCTATGCGGCTTCCCCTCCACTGAGATTGTGGCCAACTCATGTTCTACAAATAAGCCAGTGATGCAATGTTGGGGAAGTAATTAAACAGTAGAAACTTTGGTCATCTTTCTTACCATTTAACTTTATTCTTTCACTGTAATCTAAACCCAGAGCTCCTGTAAACTAACATTATTCTATAGAACTCATGCAAATTTGAAAGCAACTGAGGATTTGATCCATAGCTAAATCACAGAATCACAGAAGAACAGAAGACTTCACAGAGGTTTTCTAAAACAGAAAGTGCAACCCTCTGGCATCCCTTTTGACTATGGTATTATGTGTGTGCTGTTTAAGGAATGTTTCTCTTCTCTCATTTCAGCGAGATATATTTAACTTTTTCACCTGAGTTTTGTTTTCTGCCTCCTTTGACCCATTCTTCCAGGCTTCCCCTTCAGAGTCACTGTTAGATATCAGTGGTGTTCTCACTTCACTGAACTCACCATTTCTTTAGTCTTGCAGGAGATTGGAATAGAGATGTGGAGGTCAGGGAGAACAATCCTTAAGGCTAAGGTGAAGTACAAAGTGTGTTTGGAGTCATGAAATAAAGCTGAGGTATACTGAGAATCAGGAATCAACCAGAAGAACTGGTAACTATCAAACCAAAAGATAGTGAAAAGTTAGGGTGCCAAAAGAATGGGTCAAAGAAGCAGGACAAACATGTAGCTATTGCATGAGAAATCTGAGAGGTAAGGAGAATTATCAGAGGCAGAGCTGATGCTAGTGCAGCAAGAGATGGGGAGCACGCACAGGTGTTGAGGAGGCAGAAACAAGACATGAAATGCAGATAGTGTGACTACCAACTTATGATAGCTGGAAGATGTGCCTAGTTCTAAAGGATAATTTTGAAACCAAGTCCCACTACGTACACCCAGCCTGCAATTTGTCCCAGTAAAATGCAAGCACTCTGTTTACTTACCAGGCTTGCTCTCCTCACTGCCTTACTCAGAGGCTGATTCTGAAATCAACAGTTTAAGGCTCTACCTTTCTGTCCTCCAGATGCCTGCTGTGACCTCCAGATCCAGACCTTGGCCTTGCCAAATCTGCCCTACCCTTGCCAAATCTGTTTACACACAATGGAGGTGGAACAAAAGATTTAGCTGTCCCCCTAAAAATTTCCTCACCCATAGTGCTGGGCTCCCACCTCTCCTCTCCACTGCTAATCAGGAAAACGGGCTCCCGCAGCTCCTCCTTAGCAGGGTCCAGTTTTTTGGGCCCTTTGTCACCAAGGCGAGAGACTGATGCCTTACAGATTGACACTCCAGCATAGAGAGACAAAGGCAGGATTGAGTGTTGAAAGGGTAAAAGTAATGCCCTATCAAGGAATCATAATGCCAAAAACTGGTCCCTCATCCTTCACTTGATCCTTCTCTGATTTGGTTTTGAATTATTCATGAGGTAACCTGTTTTTCTTATGTGGCTCTTAAAATTCTTAATATTATCACAGAATCACAGAATGGTTAGAATTGGAAGGGACCTTAAAAATCATCTAGTTTTGATTCCTCTGCAATGCTCAAGGACATCTTTCACTAGATCAGGTGACTCAAAAGCCCATCCAGCCTGGCAGTGAATATTTCCAATGATGAGCCAATCCAGAACTTCTCTGGGCAACCTGTTGCAGTGTTGTAAAAAACTTAGGATGGTCAGTGATGGATGCAGCTTTCCACAGATGCTTGCCACCATCACATCAGCCTTGGGTCTTTGTGCCTCATAGTGTGCAATAGCAATTGTGGTAACACAGTAAGCACATAAAAAGATGCAACCAAAGAAGTCCAAATCTCTCATTTTGTTTCCAGGTATATAGGGTCTATAGGCATTTGCTTACCCCTATTTTCACTTTTTATGGGGATTCATTTTCTAAGAATTCCCTAGTGATATCTGTGCATTGGCACACACGGTAGAGTCCCACTGAGAACTGTGAGGAGGTTGGAGTATTCATGCACTCTTTCATGTCAGAACTGTCTTTGTTCTCCTTTCCTACATGTTGAGTTGTTTTGCAGTGAATGAAAACAGCTGCCCCATTCCCCACAGCTGTCTGCCTGACTTAGCTGATGGGGCAGCTAGACTTTGCATTTACAATTCTCAATAAGAGACTTGGACCAAGTTCAAACTAAACTTTCTTTGTATACAGTATTACTGAACAGAGTTTCATATCACAGGGATTCACATATGATGTCTGAAGTTTAACTCTGAGGTAATCCAAACATAACTTTAAGTACCCCTATGTTTTGCTTCAAATAATGCAGTCTGAATTTAGTTGCCTTTTGATGAACAAAATGCCTCACTGGATGACTGGGAAAATAAGAGTTCTTAAGAAGTCCTCTCTTGATTCCAGTTTCCAGGAAATTTATGTTATGTGCCTAAAATAGTGCAATTTTTCAAACGTTTCAAGAGGAAGAACCTGTACACAGAGCCATCCCCTTCAGCTAGAGCTTGGGACATCCCAAGCAACTTGGGAAAGAAATTTCTTCATTAGAAACGTCTCCTATATTACTGATATTTTTAATGCCACTTACTTGCCCTCAGAACTATAACTATTTATGCTGCCGTCAGTGGATTCCCTGACTTGGCTGTCGAACCATACGACTTCTCATCTCTGCTGCCATTCCTGTTTCTGTGCTTCTCTGTATTGTGCTCTTTAGCTTCTTGCTGCCACCCTCTGAAAGCAGAGAAAAAGAAAAGACAGTTAGAACGACAACTTAGAGAAAAGCCTTTCCTTGTAGTTTCCCCCCACCAACAGTGGTCTGACTTGATCATTACTATTTAATAACATAAAAAGACTATTCTGATTGAAAAAGCAATCTCTCTTTCCTGGTTGCAAACTGGAAATGGCTTCTCTTTAAAAGAGCTGCAACTTGAAGATCTTCATTACGGCAAACTGTTAGAAACTAGATGTCTTGTTAATAACATTTGCACAGTTGGAATGTAGACAGTTCTGATAGTGTCTGCTAACCAGTAATGTGCTTCTAGACACCTTGTTAGTTAGGTTGTGTGACTCCAAAAGAAGTTACAATTCTCACAGAAAAAAAAAAAGGAAAAAAAACCTTCACACAATCCACAGAAAAATGTTAAATACCAAGATACGTAGTATCAAAAATATAATAATGTGTTTTGACTTGCCAAAATCTTACTTTTCACCACAAAACATCTTCAAAGTAAACAGTGAACTTTATAGAACTTATGAGCTCAGTACTTCCCAAGCAGAAGTAACTGTTGAAGAATTTGTTTGGGAGATCAAAGACAAGTTAAAGATGGATGGGACCACATGTGGGTCATCTGGTCTAACATCCCTGCTCAAGTAGAGTCTTCCTAAAGCACATGGCACAGGGGCATCCAGACAGTTCTTGAATATCTCCAGTGAGGGAGACTCCACAACCCCTGTGGGCAGTCACAATCCAGGCTTACAACTGAACACTAGAAAGTAATGTAAATCTTGGGGAATTTCCATTTGGAAAAGCTTCTATCCCACATTCTTAAAAATGCAATTTGATTTCCACCTGGAAGGTTTCATATTTCCCTTGAGCAAGAGAGCTTCCAGTCATTTACAGGTCCCTTTCAGATTATGGCTGATCTACAGTGAATTCTGCTGTTGCATGGCAGAAATTATACTTCTAGATGACAATAGTTGTTCTGAACATTCTTTAACTAAATTACTTTCATCAAAGTCTCCATGTGATGTAATAAGATGTGTTGTCTTCAAACTCAGTATCCTGTTCTTTTTCATTTAGTTCAAAATAGGTACTCAAAACTCAATGGGTACCATTACTTTCTTTCAGAAATTAGTAAATTTGACAAAGTTTCATGTAAGTACATGTAAAAACATTCTTCTGCGTTTTCCTCTTCATTTCAGTGCTCCTTCATTTGCTCTTTGCAAAGTCTGTACTTCCTTTTCATCATCTGCTCTGGGGAATATCTGAAAAAGTGAATGTTTCTTCCATCTCCATCTGCTGAGGAAACTGAATTGCTCTTAAAGGTTTTTCACCTTCCTCTTTAACTGGGACATTGTTGATGTTTGAGACTGAATTTCTCTTAAAGGTTTTTCACCTTCCTCTTTAACTGGGACGTTGTTGATGTTTGAAACTGAAAGATCTTGACGTTTCATCACATAAAACTCAGTCTTTGGTGGCACCCACGTGGTCTGCCCATTGCTCAGGGTGTTTAAACATGTTATGGAGAAGAGGTGCCCCTTGCACTTTGGGTCTGCAGAGCTGGTGGAGGGCAAGGAGGAATCACACCATGCAGCTACCAGAGTAACCTCTTTGAAGCTAGCAGAGAAATAGAAAACATTGCCAAAGTGAAAACAAAAGAGTTTGTATACTGGGCTCAGAGGGGACATGACCACAGTGAAAGAGACTGTGGTTTCACTCTTAAGCTTTCTGGATGAGGGCTGTTTATCTACGGCCACCCAGAAACAGAGAAACAACTGCCTGTGAGTGGAACAGATCAGTTACTTCCACAAAGGAAGAGATGCTTTACTCCCTTCTGAGGCCAACAGCTCTGAGGTTTTCCTGTGGACCACTGCAACTCATCCACATTCCCAGTCCTTGGTTACCTTAAAACACATTATTCAGTGCTGCTAAATGGAATGGAGAGTAGGGTAGGCAAGGTACACCAGGCAGGCCAGGCTCCACTCTTACACAGTGTAGGTGTGGAAGGTATTTCCTGGAGCTTCAGTGACTCCATATGTAGAAAACCAAATGCTACATTTTGTCCTGAACTTTCTCTTTGAAAACAGAGAGTGTGTTCAGCGTACCAACACTGAAAGGTAGGCTGAATATCAAAAATTAATCAAAAGACAGCCTAGACAGTATAACCCACACACAGCATTGTACTCCAAAGGAGGTTTCACACTTTCTGCAGGCATGCATTTGCCCACCAATACTGTTTCTTCTCTCTCTCTGTCTTGCCAAGACCAGTCTGAAAGTGCCTCTGTTTCCATCTGCTCCTACAAAGTGTGTGAGATTATGTGGTTTACCCTCATGTTCTTTTCTGCAGCCAGCCAGATCAGGCAGCATAACCGGAAGGATTTAATATGGCAGAGCCTGAAATGTGTTCAGCTGAATAAGGTTGCTTGTGAGTATTCAGGTCTCAGGAAAGGGAAATGATGAGATTCTAGAGTTAGCTACAAGACCAGCATGGTACAAATTGGTAAAGAGATCTTGTTCTGGACCACCTGAAAAACATGGTGGGTGCTGAAACTTAGGGATTAGACTCAGGCTGTTGGGACAACATAATGAACATTGTCATAAAAATAGTCACTATTAAAAATATCCATTGACTAAATTAAAAAAGCTAATATTTTGGCTTTGAGCAACAGTAGAGATTGAAAATAGCAAGTGGATTTTTTTTTTTTTAAAGTAATGTTGCATTGTCATGGATAACATCAATATTGCTGCTTGAACACACTTCTTTGCTCCACCGATTTTAAATGCACAGACCATGAAGTAGGAATTCTTGTGTGTGGGCATAAGCAAGTTCAAAACTTTGTCTCCCTGTGCTGCAAGTAACAGGTTGTCTTTTTCCAAATACTTTCCACGTCACTGCTTTCTGTTTTACAGCGCTGGTTCCACTTCTTTTTCTTTTCACATCAACATTTTTCCTCAGACTGAAGATTAGAAAGCATCCTTTTGTGTCCTCTTATAATTGTTACTAATACCCAAAATGTTTCCTGGGAAAACTAGAGTCCTCCTATACATTAAATTTTATAATCTCAGTCTTAATATTCTGCAGTACAATCAGAAATATAACATAAAAGTAACCCAACATAATGATAAACTACAATGAGTTTATGGCATAGAGGGAATTGCTTTTGCCCATGACTAAGAACTAAATTATATGTTGCACAGGTTTTAGTAGTTTTATGCATCTCATATATTTTCTGTCCACTTATATCACAAAAAGTAAAGAGCCAGTTTATCTTGTTAGTGTACTCCTGCAAACTTCTCAGTAAAATCTAGTTCTGGGAGGAAAAAGGGTGCTTAGCAACCTTAACAACCTTAGTTCTCAACCTCTGAGTTGCGAACTGCTTCAGTAGTGAGCACCTCAGTAGGCACCCCAGTAACATGAACTCACTCTGGGGTACAACTTCTAGTCCTGCCTTGACTGCATAATGAAATATAAGATCCAACCAACTACCAGTGTTTCTCCTGATATTGATAATACATTTTTTTAAACTTTCATTTTCATCTTGCATTACTTTTAATCTAACAGTTCTGCATATATCTTTGGAATGCTGTCTTTATATGAACAACACAGGTTCATAAAATATTCAAGTTCAATATCTATGCTATAATATCCTGAGAAGATTTTTCTGCTCATCTGGATATCTACTGGAGAATGCTTGGTCTGGCTTCCAATATTTAGTAGTTTGATATGTACAATTAAATTTTAAAATACGTTCCAGTTATTTGCCTGCACTGTGTAAATTACACTGTATTTATTGTGCAGACTGAAGATAAGCAGTCTCTATACTGAATGCCATTCAGAGGTAAAATTTACTCCCACTTGGTCTGTATGCTTCTGTCTGCCGTGTCAGTTGTGTAAGGCTTTCTGCTTGCAGGAATGCAGATCAATGTGCATGTATTACATGGAAACACCTGGCTTAATGGGTACAAGCCAGAGAAAAGCTATAACAGAGGAACTGTGATGAACATTTTTGCAGATTTAATAATTGATGGCAAAGGATCAAAAAGCAGGCACCTGCAGCTACAAAATATACACAGCCTGTAAACATTGTATAATTTATCAATAGGCTTGTGGTAGCATTCCTGCTACACTGATGTGTGTGTGCAATGTGCTATTTCCCTCTACTTATTATAAATGTAGCCTATAGTGATTCCTTTTTGGTCTGACAAGAAACTAGTCCCCAGTTTTGGTTTTCCTAGACAAAATTAACTTAACAGACCAAGCAGAGCAAAAAGCAAACATGCACTATCTTACATTTGCAATTACAATGCAATTGATGTGTCCCCAATTTCTGTACTTCCTAATTGCTTTCAAGTATAGCAGCCAGGAACTATTGTCAACAGAATTATATTATTGAGAATGGGTCAGTGATAGTATCTAGAGATATAAGATGTCCTACTAGAGATACCTCAAGGCTAGCTAGATACCTCAAGGCATCCAATTCAGAGGGGACAATGAAAGAACATTCCTTCCGCCCCAGCCCTCTGCTTAGCATGACTGCACATGGCATCACCATTTGCCTGGCTTTTCCTTTGTGCTTCATGTGGTGCCTGGAGTCAGCTATTACTTTTTGCTTGTTTCAGTCTAGGAAGTCTGAAATATCAAGAGGGGCTGCTGCAGTAAGGCTTTTATGCAAGGTGCCAAGGTGCTTATTACATGTCTTTGGTCAAGCCTAGGGGACAAGAATATAAGAATACAAGAATATGCAAGGACATGAGCTTGGCAACTTAGCCAATAGGACAGTGTTAAAGACTGCTGTAGGGCAGAAGGAAATGCTGTCATGACCCTCTATGTACTGCCTACAGGGAAAGGTGCCTTCCATGAGCATTGCCCAGAATCATACCTGAGTGCAACTAGCTGGTTAGCACCAACAGAAAAGAAGCAATTTTGCACACATGCAGTACCTGGGTATGCGGTATGGAAAATTCATGATAATTTCAAAAGAACACACCAGATAACAAAGCATACACCACT